TTTTCGTAGAAATGTGTTGTTAAGTAAACAAGGTGCCCACGCGGGCGGGCGGGCGCGCGCCAAAGGTCAAGGAGTAATGTCAGCACCTACACAGTTCCGAATCAAATGAACGATATTCTCTTTGGATTACATTATCTTAGATCCCACGCACGAGTGGGTGTTGCTATTTCAAATATTTCTGAATATGCTCCGCGAAAAAAGTGCAAACAATACAAGTCTCACCACACAGTTGATTGACCTTATTACTTGACTGTAACGCGAGCAGTTCATGTCCTAGCTACATAAACATGTAAACCGCGGGATGTTCCTCGAATCAAAGCCTAGTTCAAACACTTCAGTTAATTATTTTTTACTGGTCCGAATCGAATTGATATCACGGTCAGACAATACTATCTAAATATAATATGAACTAACGTCCAACTTCCTACCACAGTGGTTTTATCGCGGAAGCCTATATTTTGTGGAGAAAAAACGATTGACTCAATTTTACACTTGAGTGGATCGAAATGACTGCTATTTAATCCAATGCGATTTCCTTGGATAGTCTTGATCATTCGTAGAATACAGCAATGATTTCAGTCATTCTTTACATGAACTCATCTTTGCTTGTATTGCACCGTTCTAAACTAATGGTTTAGTACAACTTTTCTGTGAATGATAGTGTACATTGACGTCACGTTATTTAAAATGCAGATGATTCACTGGATGACTTTTAGTTTGAGCTTCATCCAGTAAGTAAGCTTTGTAACGAACTGGTGTTGACTGTGAATGCGGAAAAACAAAACACGGAAACTGAAAGATCTACAAGTAGGTACCTAAGTAACACAAAAGCAGTCAAGGCTCTAGTTTTTGTAGACGTCACGGTCCATCGGCGCGGACGTGGTGGAAGCTACCACCACGCTGCTGCTCATTGAGGAAGCGTAGCAATGCGCTGCCACACTTGCACATCACAGTTACACATTGTATCTGAGAACAGACATGGTCATCTAGAAATGTTCAAAGAAATCAGTTATTATTGTAATGTTATCCATATTACAACAATAATTTGTTTATTGTGCACACGATCACTTTTAGGAAAGCTTTCAACGTTGCTTAAAGTGGGCCGACTTCACAGAACACCAGATTATTAAAGAAAAGGGTAAACACAAAGTTTGACTGAGGTCGCGCTGTTCTTAGAAGGCTTTTAACCTTTTACATTTGAGGTAATTTTGCGATACAATATAATATTTCTTTGAAAAGACAAACATCAATTTACACGAATATGTTGTTGTTATTGAAAACTTTATTGAGAGGATACTTATATCGTTTATGTTTATGGTTGTCAAGTTGTCCGGCTGCCCTAACGGTTCTGATTGCCAACAAACATGGCTGCTCCAGGTGAGTCACAGTCACAACACCACGCTACACGAGTGTGGCAGTGTCGCGCGAAGTGTTTTCCTGCTAGCTGACCACAACGGGTGATGCAGCCCATTCATAAACCTCTTCCACCTACAACAACACAATGACTACGCAGTACCTTGATGATAAGTACCAACTGTCCACATGAATATGATATCCTAATTAGGTACCTAAGTATTTAATGGAATGTATTTGATATCAAAGTTTTAAACTCGGAAAACCTATATTCAATACGTTTTGCAGCATGAATGACTAGTGATTGTTGCTGACGTTAAACCACAAGACCCAATTAATAGGACTATGAATAAGATATTAATTGGCTAACCACCTACAGCCAACAAATGGGAAACGTTGTCGAGCAACCAACTATGATTCAGGATATTGCTTGCCCTGTTCCACAAACATCCTTTTACGCAATACGGTTATTATTATTATTACCTGTGCTCAATTATTGTTTGTATGTACACTGTGATTCTATTCCACGTCTACCTAACTCTACCTACTACTACGATACAGCTATTTTGTCATACATAATTATATTATTCAAATATTGTGTATAAGTTATACAGTGAACGTATACAAGTAGGCACCATTAAGTGAATATTACCTACCATTGATGCTTCAAAAATAAAATCACGATTTTCAGTGTGTTTCAAAGCGCACAGTGCGTCTAGACAGAAGTTCCGTAATTATTTCTGTCGCGAATCCAAGTCGCGTGCGTCATTCGCTTTGACGCAATGGACAAAAAAAACGCATCGTTTGTCGCCACACGAAAATGCACCAGCGGCACTAACACAGTAAACAATCCCATTTTGATGATACAAATCAACAAAAGAATAATTTAAATGAATCGGTTCCTTAGCGGAAACCCAGTGTCAGTGAGTGAGATCGTGCACACAAACAAACTAAACTAAACAAACAGTAAAGAAGTAGATAATGTAAACCCGAAACAAAATACAAGTAACGCGAATGCAAATATTTCTTAGAAGTGGAGAACTTATCTCGGAATATCAAGACATGTCAAGGTTCCGCAAACAGCAGTAAGATAGACAGGCGTGCAGAGCTAGACAGATTACTTGTTCCTACGTCCCACAGATTCATCATTTCATGCTTACATGATGACGCCGCGCCAAAGATAGCCCTGTTATCAGTGCAAGCAATTAAGGTTATTTATAGAAGTGATAAGGATTTTACGCGAATCTAATGGTACTTCAAACAAGCCATCACTTGTTATGGAGATCGATTTGTTAACCCACGTTAACTCTTGATATAGTACGTACCAAATAATTCCTAGTAATAGTGTTTGATAAAACAATGAGTAGATATTAGATGAGGTGATGAATGCAGGAATTTTTGCTCAATGTGTGTAAGTATCCGGGTGGGGGTCAGTGGCCTGCGCGCGCGCCTGTGTGTCTGTGTCGGCCCTTAGACAGGTTCCGCGTAACGGGAGCCGGGACCGTGTCAATCACGACAATTATTTAGCACTCAGCATCGATACATCTCGTATATATGAAATAGATACAAACAAGGTACACACAATAATCACCATAAAATAACTGAATCACCTAGCAAACCTAGCATTGAGATCAAGCCTGATGTTCCTAGGAAAAAATTGAATTGTGAAATTTCAACAACATGACAGCTTTTAGTCTCTCATATAAAGAGATGAACATTTTCCTAAAAGAAAATCTTCTAAAAGCAGTGAACACACACATCACGACGCGTGTGGAAGGAAACGACTACAACATACAGTTACAATGTGACAGCCAAAATGGAAGCCAAGTTGAGGTTGCGTGCGACTTTCTACTCTGCACACTGACCGACACCCGATGACAACTGTAATTGTTTATAATTACCAACACTTACTGCTGATACCCATCGACACAGCCGACCACCGTGGCATAGCAGGCAAGGCCCGACATCACCATTGTTTTATCGCGCAATTAAATAAAATATATTTTAAACTTCTGGACACGTTAACGACAAACGTTAAATATTCATACTTAGAAAAATTACTTTAATGAGCAATCAAAAGTAAAATATACGACAACCAATATGAAATTAAACAAAATGAAATAATTACGTTTATTATTTACATCAGGCTAGTCATTTTACTTGCTGATAAACCGGCATCTATTTCTTATTCATAAGAATTATCTTTACTCACAACACAATGGATTCAATATTTTATCACGCGATAACGTATGGTTTCAACATGAATGGCGTTTATCCATAGATGAGATATCGACATCAAATGTTTTTAAATATAGACTGGCTATGATAGATGGTGGAACAAAACCGAGTTTGAGTTTGAAGGTGACATCAGAGGAGAAAAAGGAAAATTATGTTTAGTCAGAGATAATAGATGACGTGTAAAAAGGGTATTACATGTCCAATTAATAAAGTTCAATAGGAAAAAGAGAATAAAATTATAAGGTTCGAATACAATGCAATAACAACAAACAGGTCAGACTGCTTGTATGACGCTACGCCGATATATCTAATTAGTCAACAAATATTTACCTTTGATAAAAACTAATTAAAACCTTTGATGATGACCTATTAACGAAATGTTCTGAGGTCAGGTAATTCTTCGCTGTACTTTAAGCTGCTAGTTTTCATTATCACATAATACAACACCAAGATATAGCATAATGTGTATCTGTCCAATCATTCGGGGGAAAACACAAAATTGTAAAGAACAGCTATGACCACAAAACGAAGACTTTAAAAGAAACATATTGTTGCTGTGGATGTAACATAGTGACATAAACACAAAAACTAAGTTTTGTAATGACACCATGTTGGCAGGTTGCACACTGTTGTAGCAGTTGAGGAAAATCTACATTTAGCAGTCAAAGTAGTAAACATCAGTCAAGTAAGTTGAATACATGTATTTACTTATGTTTCTATTGTTTTTGTTGTGTCTTCGTGCAGTACATTTCTTGCGCACTTGTCCAAGTATTGCGTGCGTCACATTCATTCCAAAAATAACAAGTTATCCGAAAATTCGACTTAAAATTAAAATCATAAACGAAGACATCACGTAATTCGCAACATTATCAAACGAGGAGGATGATAACAGGCCGAACGCGGATACGACGTCCACACGCACACTCTCACACCACCGACACAAGCACGCACGCACACTATCGCAGAGTACAAAAATAGCATCGCCGATAGCGCAAACACACCAACACACGCCCACACGTTGTACGTGAACTGTAATAAAAACATACATAGACACGCACAGTGCGCTATGAATAAGACACAAATTGAAATGGAATCGTACGGCCGATTGATTTGCCGTGGGCAACTCCAGCGAGCACCCACGGCACACCAGCTCCTGCAGGACAGCCACACGGCCGAGGAGCACTCGATAAACACGATCAAAGAGAAAGCCGATTTCGAGAACGGACCGCGAATTTATTTTGCATGCCGCGATAAAAACTAGGCTAAGTCGACAATGAGACCGGGACCTCTTTACTGCCGAGTACCGGTCCAGTCTAGTTCCAATTATAGGAGCGCACCGCAATTCTATGCCATGCAACATATCGAAGAATGTGGACCTGCGACGTCGCCGTATGTCGAAGCGGACTCACCTAAATTTATGACATACATGGCCTGGGAGCGCTCGAGCCTCCGCGCATGCTCCACGGCCTGATACAGTCCGCCGGAATCCACTTTGAGGCACTAGAAAACTTTAACACGAACTGAAACCACTGCGTCAAGCGCAAGCATCTTATGTGGGCACTGGCACTTGCCGTCGAACGGCACGGAACGGATTAGCGCGACACTCGATGGAGCGACAGGTAAGCTCGGATCGCGGTCGAACACTAACTGAGAGCTGGCGGCCGCGCGGGGCGGCGGCGCGCGCGCACCCGCTCGTAGCACTCACAGCGCCCGCAGCGCTACACAGCGCTACAACCGCTGATAACTGACGCATCAACGTTTTCGCTAAAAACGACTAAAATCTTGGCAATAGTTTCTATACAAAAAAACACGGTAGACTGTAGGATGCAATTTCTTAGAACCAATTCACTCTGGATTTCTGAGAATGTTTTCGGAGAAAAGCGCTGACGTAATACTGGATGGAGATGTTATTATTTACATATCCACAAGAGATAAATTAAGCGATTCATAATTAACTCTAGTTATCGTTTATTCGCTATTAGTGTGATGATTATAAATGTATTGTAATTAAAAAACTGCTTTAAAAATGACCATGTACAAAATTTGCGGATAAGGATACTTATAAGTACTGCTGCAAAAATACGGTCTCAAAAAATCCAAATGATCGACACGTGAGATCAAAGTTTTAAATAGGCAATGACGCAATATGTGCTAACTTTAACTTACTTATAAAGGTTACAGCCGAATTCTCAACATACCATGTTTTGGTAGTGGTAGGTGGTAGTTACAATACAAAACAAATGGCTTACAAGAAGAATTATTCGATACTTGCTTTTGTAAACAGAAAGAAATATTGAAATAAGGATATGTTTTTCGTTAAACATTGAACACGAAGATGTAGGTTACAATTGTTTATTACTTGTATGTATTCTGGAAACAAACATGCTTCCACCTGTTGATCAACAAACAATGTTTGAACAGAATCCGTAGCGACGCTCGACGTGACAAGTGTAGCAGGGCGGCGCGCGGCGCGAGCTGCTGGCCCGCTAGTTGTGTAACACCAAATATTACGTCAATAACAATACAGGAAAATGTTTATCGAAACATGCACAACTGTTTGGAATCAATTTGTATTTTTGCGTACCTGCTACCTGCGAAGGACCAATAAAAATGTCGAAATGGAAAACGCGAGTAAACACAAAGCGCTTTTGTAGTTGAGGCTACTGGGAAATGAATTCCACACAAGTAAAGCTTTCCAATCTACTTCCAACTAATGCTACAAAGCTCATGTACATGAAGGTTTGAAGTAGGAAGTCATTCACAATCGAAACGAAACTATCGACACTTTACATAAGTACATGTGTTATTTGTCTATACTATCATACATATACAACATAGCTTAAAAGCCGTTTCTCTCGCAGTCCTTCTACTAGCCAGAAATATGCTCCAATTTCTAAGTGATGAATTTAAACGCGCAAAAGTTTATAAAGAGGGAGTACATTGTAGAAACAACGCAAATATCAATCGATGGCAGTTGTCAGCGAGGCGGCTCGCACCGGCTATAGGTCAACCGCTAAATATTTAGGGCGCATCGTGACGTAGCCGTGACGTCACCTGATTGCAGCGCTGATTAGACGTCGGCGGCTTTATGAGAATATTGGCCGCACGCACTATGTAACAGCTAGCTCTGTTCAAATACTGGTTCATTGTATTTTCAAATACAGACATTACTAGACAAATATAGCATTCTATTTTATTTATTGAAGGAAACATTAGTATCAAGTAGGTAGAGAAAGTCGAGGATAACACAACAAAACGATGGCGCAAAAAATGCTAGTGATTTCCTTTTCATTTTCCTTGGATAAATCTCTTAGGTAATTAACAATTAATTAATTACTTTCCTTGTCTATTTCCAACAAGGTTAGTGACGGTACTGTCTTCAGCCACCAGCTTCTTTAACAAATATTAAAAACATGTCACAAATATTATAATAAATTGGTTTCTTGCGATGTTGGGTTCTACTTCGAATACAGTATCTCTTTAAGAGCGTATGGATTTCGTATATTTTCTAGTTTATGATTAAAAGTTTGTTCGGATCAAATTATATTTTAACTATGTAACGATCTCGTCATCCCCAGAAGAATACCACTACCGGTTTTTTCCCTTTAACATAGTATTTTTTTGCAAAAAAACATCAGAATTATGTTCCACCGTGTAATATTATTTGCAAACATACAACCAATAAAAACAGTGTTTACCAAGAATAAGCAAAGTTAAAGACACATATCTTACTGAGAGTAGAAGATAAGTCTTTCACTAAATTTTCTAGTAGGCTCTAGTCGCACTACGCTTTCCAACCTCAGCCACTGTTTCTTCAGACACATTTAATATTTAAACTGTCAAACACCAAGCGGTCACCGGTGACCGCAACCTATTGTTCTTTAATTGTGTCTATAAATACGGTACTCGACGAGTTAAAACGAAACTTGATCGAATGACCCATTCGGTCGAATATTCTAGACCTAGGTACAACTGCGGTATATTTTAATATTTTCGATATAGGTTTTTCTACAACTTTCTAACATAGGGACTTAGGGAGGTCTACAAGACTATATTTATTCATTTTTTGTAACGCTGAACATGAGTTAATCTGCCGGCTTCATATTCCCCACTATAGTAAATCTATACTTAAATAATTATGTTTAGCTTTTCGTTAAATTCAGAATATGATATAATATGAGAATCGGATATCGTATTACTATCTAGATCCTTACTAATAATTTAAATCTGAAAGAGAGTTTGTTTGTTTGTTTGTTTGTTCCACTTTCACGCCGTAACTACTAAACCGATTGCTTTGAATTTTTGCGGACGTAAAGTTAGAAGTCCAGATTAAATAATAGGGTAAGTACTTTTTAACCCGGAAAAATTTGATATTCCCGAGGAAAAACAAAAGTATTGGTATAGATGGCGCTGTGTGTATTGGTATATGCCACATAGGCTACTTTTTATCCTTTTGTGACGCGAGCGAAGCCACGGGTAAAAGCTAGTCTATAATAAGTGAAGAATCATGGTGATTTCGCGCAAATTATTATAATTCGTACGCAATGCTCTTAAAACAAATATCGTTCAATTATCTTTTTGCATGTAACAGGAAAATGATAAACGTGTTTGATCTCACTAAATTTGTGATTATTTGGAAGACATATGTTAAAACTAAGTTATTTTGTTTTCTAATACAAGTACCATTACCAGATCATACCATAGCATTTCACTTCTTTATTGGACTAATTTAATTTCAATATAATTATGTACTCTCCTCAAATGACTTACGACCGAAACTAATACGCGATCTTAATTCAAAACTCCGGATCAACTTCAGTTTTCGACTGAAACTCCACACTAGGTCCTAACGCCAAAAGTCAATATTAATCATGATTTTGGATAAAATCTGTAATTAAAATTCGGCTGAAAATCAATATCAACGCTAACGAAGATCCTGCCATCTAATAATATCCGCATTAACCCTGACACTGAATGATCCTTGTAAACCGACCGATTACTCAGAAACAGGAGTAACGTATAAATACAATGATCGTTATATCACGAGATATCGTATAACACAACAGACAACACATTGAATCACTAACTTCTTGATTTAACTCTGCGCACGCGTCACTCGGTGACACACACACAACCTTGTGTCCTCACTTGCCAAAATACAGTTAATTCTGTAACTCACTTTGTCTACGTTGTCGTATTTTGTTTGGGAATATTGAACTAATTTATTTTCCTTAAGTCTGTTACAAAACAGAGAACAAAGAAATTGTTTAGATGGAAAACATTTTATAAAGTGGCATTTCTGCCACCTATGTATGCTAGTTATGTAGCTCTATCCCAGTAAAGAGGAAATTGAAACTGCAGCGCGCACCTTACGACGCGGCTAGTGAAAGTTTTAAATACTATGTAAACAAACTAACTACATCTCCATCTCTTTAAAACTGAACAACAACAAATGAAAACAATCCTTCCTTTTGTAAGTCGTCAGATTACAAAGCACAAGAGGTAATCCCCTATTAATAAACTTATAATTTCAGCGAAGTAATAATGTAAGACGGTTGGGTGCGCAGGCGCCGGTCGCGACGTGGGTGATCAACCTTGTCTAGACCGAACTTGACTAACTGGTATTTACGTAACTACCTCATTATTACTCATAGTTTACAGTTTTCAGGCCCACTTTACGCAAACGCAAACTGAAACCAGAATACAGAAGTACAGGGAGTTGAACTCGCAACTCGCACCATTATGACAATTATTGCCGTTTTCGCACTTCATCAGGAATTTCCCCAAAATTAACTTCCCGTGTTTGCTTTATACATATATTGTTTTACAAAGTTCCTAGTATTCGTATTGAAACTCTCTCGTTGCTCTTATCTCATGTTCAACGGAAGATGGGTTCCAAATAAAGGCGTCTAGCGTACTGCTGGTGCGACGTTATCATTCAGGAATTATTTGTTATTACATGGTTGTCTGATTAAATTTTACTTCTTAGAATTGTTACTTGCGATATAATAGGTGCTTATAGTCTTATTTTAGAATATAAACACTGATATTATTTCGTATCTCTGTTATTCTCTATCCTAATGATAAACAATAAACCAACTCGGAGCGAATCATCGCATTCGAAGCAAGAGTATTATAAACAACTCCAAACTACTTCTAATTTAGGCAAGTGTAGTATTTGGCGAACTAGGCATTACTCAAATCATCAACGAGAAGTGAACATCACCACCTCATCGGTTTATATTTAACGTGTGATCGTCGCGTCGCCGTGTCGCCGCCGTGCCGTCCGCCGTCCGCCGGACGCCGGACCGTCACCGAGTCACGGCAACTAAACTGTTATAGCCGGCGCCATGTCAAAATATCCCGTCACCGTGATAGTTTAGTGTTTCATTTATGTCATAGTCGATCTAACTGCGAATTACACATTCGCGAGGCGACATTTTGCTGAATAACAACTAACAACAGATTCGTGAAAAACTAAATACAGTTGTGGTGATTAAGAGTTCACCTTGTGTCCTTCTAATAAGTGTCACTTGTTTCAAATTGTTAGAAATTGCGCAGATATGAAGAAGTGCGACGCTGCAGGGCTGGCAGGGTGGACGTTGCCTGACGTCTCTGTTGAATATAATACACCGCTATAAGTGAATCATCGCCCCTTTCTTCCGGGAACTCGCGAAACGTAGATATTCCACAAGGCTGAACTATTTTTGTAACACCACTTGAAACAAAATCGTATTCGGTTAGCGGGAATACTAGTACGAAGAAACTGAATTGGTAAACTTTACAACGGTCGAGTTATTACGACGCTCACCA